CGATTAAAAGGATAATTTAATTTTCTAAAAATGCTACAAAGTATTTAGCTTTATATAAGGTACAGAAATAAAGTATCAGTTTCATCAACTTGGTGCGTGTAGTTAAATACATTAAAGATAGGAAGAAAGAAAGAAAAAGAAAAGAGGAATTAACGAATCCAGTAGTTGATTGAATAAATTATGATTAAATACAAACACAAGTCCTGTTTTTAAAAATCCTTCTTTGTTTGTAACTGATGTTTAATACTAATGTGCCCTAAACAATGGAATTCATTACAGATTAATGAACCAATACAAAGAAGTCATTCGTTGTTTTTAGTGTTTGATTTAAGAAATCGATGTGTAATACTTATACATGTGCCGTAAACCATTAAAATTCAAGCTAGTTTAATAAATTATTACAAACAAGAACATGTACTTTTTTATTTTAATTTAAGTTCTTTGCAACGGAAAGTGATCGTGTTCACAGTGGTACACAGCTTGGTTACTTGACATTAATTATAACCCACCCACCCACCCCGCTTGAAAAGTGGGATGGTATATAGTGATCGGGATGTCCGTCTGGCCGTACACCCGTCCGTCTGTTACGCTTAATTGGGGTACCCATCTTTTATCCGCAACTCCTTTTATACCAATAAAAGAAATTTTATGAGACTTTCACAAAATCTTTGTAACATAATGCCATTGTGCACATCCTATTGTATTATTTGATCCTTCAGATATTTTGGATTTCCCAATTAGAAAAACATGCCGGACACTTGGAATATTGAAGGGTACCCATCTCTTATCCGCAACTCCACCTAAACCATGAATAAAATTTAATAAATTGCTTTCACGGATTCTTTATTACATAATGCCACGGTAACCTCTTGTTTTACATAATATATATTTTGCCTTTATAATCCAAGGGAGTTGGGGTGGTGGTGGTATATTAAGCGAGCTCAGTCCTCACAATACCTCTAGTTTACTTCTATCGACAGCTGGTTTTAAAAACAGATTTTTAGTTGACAGAAATAGACAGCTGTCTTGGTTGAGGTTAATTAACTGTGGTAGACAGATGTTCATTCTGAAGTGGTCAGTCTACTGTGGTATACGCTTGTTTTAATAGCAAGTTTAAGCAAATAATAGACATCTATCTAAGCTAAGTATAATTTTACTGCAGAAGACAACTGTCTAAGATGAAATAAAATTTTCTTGCAGTAGACGGCTTTGATTAGTTTACAAACAAAAGAGGTACCTATCACACCTTAGTCGGCTCCAAAACTTATCTGTGTAACAAAAAAGTTAGAGTACTGTCTACCACGGTCAACTAACTTAGCTCTGACAGTACAGTATTATCTAATGTCAGGTAAACTAATCCCAGCCCAGCTAGGTAACCGTCCCCCACAATGAACTAACGTCAGCCGAGACAAACGTCTACCACTGTAAACTGACGTCAGCCCAGACAACTGTCAACTTTCTGTAAACAAATGTCAGCCCAGACAACCGTCTGCCACTGTAAACAAACTTCAGCCCAGACAACCGTTTACTTTCTGTACACAAACTTCAGCCCAGACAACCGTTTACTTTCTGTAAACTTACGTCAGCCTAGACAACTGTTTACTTTCTGTAAACTTACGTCAGCCTAGACAACTGTTTACCACAGTTAACTAACGTCAGCCCAGATTACCATCTACTTTCTGTAAACAAATGTCAGCCCAGACAACCGTCTACCACTGTCAACAAACGTCAGCCCAGACAACCGTCTACTTTCTGTGAATAAAAACTTCAACCCAGACAACCGTCTACTTTCTGTGAATAAAAACTTCAACCCAGACAACCGTCTACTTTCTGTAAACTTACGTCAGCCTAGACAACTGTTAAACAAAGTAAACTAATGTCAGCCCAGATTACCGTCTACTTTCTGTAAACAAATGTCAGCCCAGACAACCGTCTACCATTGTAAATTAACGTCAGCCCAGATTACTGTTTACCACTGTAAACTAACGTCAGCCCAGACAACCGTCTACCACTGTAAATTAACTACAGTCCAGATTACAGAAACTACGTTTGGCCAGACAACAGCCTAATTTCTGTAAACTAACGTCAGCCCAGACAACCGTCTTCCACTGTAAATTAACGTCAGTCCAGACAAACGTCTACCACTGTAAATTAACGTCAGCCAAGACAAGCAACTACTGTGATAAACTGATGTCAGCCCAGATAATCGTCAACCACAGTAAACTAACGTCACCCTAGACAACCGTCTATCACAGTAAACTAACGACAACCGAGTACCATTGTAAACTAACGTGAGCTTAGACAACTGTCTACCACAGTAAATTAACGTAAGCCCATACAACTGTCTACTTTCTGTAAGCAGACATCAGCCCAGACAACCGTCTAATTTCTGTAAAATTACGTCATCCTAGACAACTGTTTACCACAGTAAACTAGCGTCAGCCCAGATTACCGTCTACTTTCTGTAAACAAACGTCATCCCAGACAACCGTCTACCACTGTAAACAAACGTCAGCTCAGACAACCATCTACTTTCTGTAAACTTACGTCACCTAGCCTAAGTTACCTAGACACCTGTTTACCACTGTAAACAACCGTCAGCCCAGACAAGCGTCTACTTTCTGTAAACAAACTTCAGCCCAGACAACCGTTTACTTGCTGTAACCTTACGTCAGCCTAGACAACTGTTTACCACAGTAAACTAATGTCAGCCCAGAAAACAGTCTACCACTGTAAATTAACTACAGCCCAGATTACCGTCTACCACTGTAAACTAACGTCAGCACAGACAACCGTCTACCACTGTAAATAAACGTCATCCCAGATTACCATCTACCACTGTAAACTAACGTCAGCCCAGACATCCGTCTACCACTGTAAACTAACGTCAGCCTAGACAACCGTCAACCACTGTAAATTAACGACAGTCCAGATTATCGCCTACTTTCTGTAAACAAACTTCAGCCCAGACAACCGTCTACTTTCTGTTAATTAACGTCAGCCCAGACAAACGTCTACTTTCTGCAAACAAACTTCAGCCAAGACAACCGTCTGCTTTCTGTAAACTAACGTCAGGCCAGACAACCGTCGACCACTGTAAACTAACGTCAGCCCAGACATTCGTGTACCACTGTAAATTAACGTCAGCCTAGACATCCTTCTACCACTGTAAATTAAAGCCAGACAACCGTTTACCACTGTAAATTAACGTCAGCCAAGACAACCGACTACTTTCTGTAAACTTACGTCAGCCTAGACAACTGTTTACCACTGTAAACTAACGTCAGCCCAGACAAACGTCTACTTTCTGTAAACTAACGTCAGCCTAGGTAACAGTCTACCACGGTAATCTAATATCAGCCTAGGCAACTGTCATCCACAGTTACCTAAAGCATATCAGTCCAGGCAACTCGAATTTCTGACTTCACAGGAAAAGAGTTCAAACAATATTTTGATTTTATGCTACAACCTTAACCTAGAGGGATGAAGCAAACTAGCCAAGCATTAGCTAAAGGCAACTTCCTTTCATCAAATGCTAAAGTCGTTTTCATATATTGTTATAGCTGCAGAACTGTAGCTCTCTGCTTGAGATAAAGCAGAAAGCTACAGATTCATGCTTTGTAAAAACCTTCGATTTATGCCGCCAATTTTTTTCGCTCACCTTAGGTATTATTTCCTGTAGTTTATGCTTTTTTACGCTCTTAGAATGGAATCGGATAATTAATCGTATATTTTACTCAAATTATTGATACTTTATTTACCTTTCAATGCGGTCCGAAACAGCCCTCTCTGGATTTGGAATTTCTGTTTAAAAGATTAATATATTCCCATTTTGACGTCCACTTCCACAAATGGCCTTTCTTGAACTGTTAAAAGGTAAATAAACATTTAGGAATAGAAGTTAAATGTATGGTTAATTATCGGATATCATTTATAAAGTTGGGGAAAACATAAAATATAAACTTGAATTTAGGACAAATACCGGTAATTCATTTTGACCGGGTGTGACTCTAGGGGTCTTGTAAAACAACATCTCCGTGAACGACATCACATAAATTTCATTGATTATGTTGTAGTAACATAGAAAATCTCGCTCGAAGTGGGGTACCTATGTGTTTATGAAAATTTGTTTCCTACCTTTAGTACATGTATTTTTATATACCGTATAGGGCAAATCTCTAAATCGTAACAAAATCGGAAAATGATATCAGGTATCGAAATATAAGAATGATAGACTAAGAAATCATGCATTTTTTTATATAAGTTTTGTGCCTAATAAAAATTCACAGAAGCTGGAGAGAGGGGGTCACACCATCCACTTGTCAGGTGCCTGTGCTCAAAATCGTCTACTTTATGTGACAAAAAGTCTAAAGATTCCGTATGATCGTTCGAAGTCGATTCAAGTACCTCAGGCACGTTGCAACAAGGAAGGGGGGCAAGGGGGCTGCCCCCACTTTTTTCAGACATATCTTTTTACTTTTTAAAATGTTCATTGAAGGCTGGTTCGCCCCTCCCCTTACACACTTATAGTTACAGTAAAGTCAAATAAGGGTAATGAAGTATTATCATGTAGAAAATGAATACAAGCTTTTCATTTAGGTTATTTTTCTTCTCTGGCTGCCCCCTTTCAAAATCGATGCTACGTCTCTTTTTCTAATTTAGAAACCTGAACAGCCAATTTTTCAATGACGCTTTTGATATTACTTAACTCGTCTAGTTTGTTTAGCACACAAACTTATTTTTGATTTGTCTCCAGTACAGTGCCCAATGAATGGTTTTTTCAAAGCTCGTGTCCGAGGCGGTAGGCCACCATTTTGGTGTTGACGTCAACAGTGGCAGATCCTCCTGCTGTTTTCCACCTCTCTCATATCATAATTTTGGGACCCGTACAGCTGGGCATTGTTGGCCGCTGATATTATATGATTGTTTTGCCCATCAGAAGCGTTGTTTACACTAACATTACTCTCATCACTTACATTATTGTTACTAAACCCACTCACCTCAGGGCTTGTATTTGCTCTCCGCATTTTGTTTCTGGACTTCCCCATGTAGATGCAGAAGGTAAATACACTATCCTATTTACGTGAACACAATTTCCTGAGAAGTGAACGCCACGGTACACACTGAATTCAGTGACCGTGACGAACTGTGAAAAACCTGTCCATTCACTTCGAACACTCGCTGCTCCCATTACCCTAAAATACTCAAATAGGGTTTTCGACTTGGAAGAATTCTTTTTTCTCTCGTCAAATTTTTTCCAGGTAATTCATTTTCCCCCGACTTAGCCCCCTTTCCGGTGTAACGTTGAATATTGACCCAAGTTGAAAGGGGTGTTTTTTCTCCGTTGAAAATTGAGACCAGAAGTTGTTGAACTTATACCCGGGGTCATTTTTCAACAGCTTGATAATTTTTTTTCTTATCCCTGATGACCTCAACAAGTTGAAAATTGACCCTGTTGAATATTGACCAAATCTCAGAGTTTGAACATTTTTTTAACTGGGAAGTTGTTTTTCGGGATTTATCAGTAGCTCTATATCTATATTTCGGCTTCAATTTTCCCCCTTTTCATCCCGTGTATATACACGATTTCAGTTATCTTCAAGCATGACAACTTTATTTTTTGACAATACTTTCTAAAATCCATAGCATCCATAAATAACTGCAAAACTATGAATAGGGCACAAAACAAAAATCCCGAAAATCTGATGTCTAGAAAGTGAGCTCTATATACTAGTATATTGATCACGCGGGCAGCACATCCCATCTCGTCAAATTCAGCATAAAAATTAACAAAGTTAACAGCCTAAAAATTAGAATGAAACACATCGGCCAAAATGAATCCAGTGATAGATTATATTTGTGAAAAAAGATCAATATAGCAACCATAGCATATAAGTAATGCTGACTTTGAACAAGGTTGGTGAAATTCCTGTAACATGCTTATCTGTCAGGAGCTTGCCTCGGCTTAAAAACTGATCTTTTTCATAGCATAACCTTGAGAATGAGATTATTCTTATTCTAAAACATATCATTCTTAATCGATACAATGTGATTCCTAATTTGTAATTTGTATTCGATAAATTGCTATTCCATCGGAGGAAATGTGAAAATATTGTTACATTTCCTCCATTGGGAATAGCAACATTTCTCGACCTCGGGGGTTATTCTGCAACATTCAGGATAACGCGGACTTTATTTCTTAATCACAAATATCATTCTTTTCGAAAACACGCGTTTCCTATTCGATGTCATTCATATTTAATTTTGTCATTCCTATTCGATAATTTTATCTTTCTTATTCGATAATTATTTGGTTTATATGCAATAAAGTTGTTGTTCGAAAACATACGATTCCTATTCGATAAACTTCTTATCTTATTGCATAATTTTAATATCTCTCCTATGCAATCGATGTTTATCTTATTCTTTTTCTATAACTGCATTCTGGGAAATATGACAAAACTAGAACTGGTTGTAGACTCAATTACATAGGAATGACATGTTTAACACGATTGTAAAATATAAATCAATTAATTATCGAATAGAAATGACAAAATTATCGAATAGGAATCACATGTTTTCGAATTTAATAACAACTTAAAGGTGATGAATTCTGGTGCACAAGAATAACAACTGATCGAATAGGAATCATATTTTATCGAACAGGAATGACATGATTTAGAAAAAGAAAAACTAAATTTTTGAATACAAATAACAAACTAGAGGTACTGTGAGCAATGAGCTCACTAAATGATACCCCCCGCCTCCCATAATGTCCATGTTTTGCTATTGTTTAACGGTAATGTGTAAAGAGGAATAACTCGTCTTATCAAATGTTATCCAGAAGCTTCTATATTTGACGTCATAGGATATAACTAGAGGTACTGTGAGCGATGAGCTCACTAAATGATACCCCCGCCTCCATATAGTTATAATGGCAAAGTCCATGTTTTGCTGTGGCCGGAAAACCCAAAATATGTGTCGGATCAAAAAGTAAAATAGGAGGTGCACAATGGCAGTATGTGATCAAGATTCTGTGAAAGTTTCATCAAATTTCATTCAATGGTATGAGAGGAGTTGCGGATAAAAATATGTTTACCCCAAAAATATAACAGACGGACGGACGGAAGGACGGACGGACGGAATTAACGATTACTATATACCCTCCCGCTTTTCAAGCGGGGGGTATAAATATAGAATATAATGGCAATGTCCATGTTTTGCTATGGGAAACCTAAAATACGTGTCGAATAAAAAAGTAAAATAGGAGGTGCACAATGGCAATATGTAATAAAGATTCTGTGAAAGTTTCATTAAATTTCACTCAGTAGTATAAGAGGAGTTGCGGATTTTTAAAGCGTAACAGACAGACGGATGATTTTTAAAGAAATACCGATTACTATATATCCTCCCACTTTTCAAACGGGGGGTATAAAAAGTATAATAATGCAACGTTTTACCCGCCATACCATAAACAGGTGATAGCGGAATATTACTTTACAAATACGGAAAGTTCACTTTGTAAAAGAGGAAGAAGAAATATTTTTTTTGTAAAACTTCCAAACATGAAACAGTTGTGGCACATTCAGTGGTGACTTTAATTTAAAGTTTACTGGGATATATCGAGTTGATATATGAACTAAAGTAACTATTGTTACTTGATCTTACGCCATTGGTGTATCTAAATGTTGAGTTGAACCCCAAAGCAAGTGTTTTTATTCTTGTCATGTAATTTTAAAAGTTTTCTAAAAAAAAATATGTTTCTGCTTCATAGAAATATTAAAACAGGTCGGCCAATAAAGGAGCACAGTTAGAGCCCATCGAAATTCCAAGGTTTGAGGGAGGAATTGGTCTCCAAAGACTGCGAAAAAAACGGTGTCGATAAGGAACTCCAGCTTTCTTTTAATATCAACTTCAGGATACTTTTAGGTAGAATCAGGGTGATTTTTAACAAAGTAATTTTCGTTGATGACCTATCATAAGATACGAAAATTTCCGAGTTCCATTTTTATTGAGAAAGCAGTTGCCTATGATGTAAAAAATCTATAGTTTTGATTTTTTCGTGAGGAATGCTTGTTTAGAGTGTACAAAAGTTGTAAGTTTTTATACCCCCCGCTTGAAAAGCGGGAGGGTATATAGTAATCGTTAATTCCGAGAGACTGTACGTCTGTCCGTCCGTCCGTCCGTCCGTCCTTCCGTTCTCCCCTTGAATGAGGGCGTGGCCCTTCATTTGAACAAACTGTCCGTCCGTCCGTCTGTTACGCTTTGGGGTACCCATCTCTTATCCGCAACTCCTCTCATACCACTGAATGAAATTTGATGCAACTTTCACAGAATCTTTATTACATATTGCCATTGTGCACCTTCTATTTTACTTTTTGATCCGACACATATTTTGGGTTTCCCGGCCACAAGAGAACATTTCCGGACCTTTTCACCAGTTATAACCATATGGGGGGCGGGGGGTATCATTTAGTGAGCTCATCGCTCACAGTACCTCTAGTTTTTCTTATTGACTTTCGAAAAAAAAAATGGTGATTTAAAATTTTCTAAAGTGTTTGGGGGGGGGGGGGCTAAGCATCCCTAACCCACCCACCCCCGTCCCTGACGCTTATAGATTAAATTATAGTTGTGAAAACCAAGCCATAAATATATGTTTTATGCTGTTGAATTTAGAACCGGTTTCATGATAAAAATCAATTCCACGACCCGGCTCAGTTTTCAACGGACTAGGGTCTAAATTCAACACCTTTGGTCTCAGTATTCAACGTTGAAATATGACCCCCGGTGTCAATTTTCAATCCGGGTAAATATCAACGTTACACCGGCAAAGAGGTGGGGCTTAAGTCGTCTCATCGTTGTCAACAACAATTAAAGTTCCTGATTTTTATTAATTTCTTAACCAATGAGAATCTATTCGCCATTTGACAGACGCTAATTACGTAGCACCGAGAATGCCAGGCCTTACTGAAAGTTCAAGCTTACCTGCGAATTGTTCTATTTTGCTTTGTGAGTGGCACAATTGATCGTCTTTATGAGTTGAGTCAGTCTTGTACATGATTTTTTTATGTTTTATACACGGATTTTGTCAAGATCTGGAGGAAATTACATTAGCTCATATATATTTTAAGCTATCTAACAGAATGGGCGGATTTAAGTTTAGACAACTTGTGCCGACTCCCCTTATATCTCAGATCGCTGAAATCCGACTATCAAAAAGGGACTAGGGGGTGTTTGTTGTTAGTTGTATCAATGATGTATAACCAACTCAAACAGAAGGGCTCACGTGATTTTAACTGGTAAGAAGACAGCTTACAACCAAACATATTTTATAAAATCTCAAAAATTGAAGAAAAAAAAATGGAGAAAATGCTTTTAAAAGATTCTGGCGAAGTCCCATGATTTGTATCCTACCTTTAAATCGCCAATCAGGAACTCCCCTGATAAATTTCCATCACCTTCATCTACACAATAGATGGATTAACATATGTCGGATCTCTCTAAGCTTCATTAATATGTGGAAATCTTTAATCTCCAAATGCCAATTAAGGTTGATGAACCTGTAAGAACGTAGCAAAAAATATACACATTTTGCCCATGACCTAATTATCATTTTATTCACATGAGTATACCTGTGTATTGTGAAATCACTGTGCTGATAAGATATCTGTACACCTCCGAGTAAATAAAGAACGGACAAAGTTAACTATAGACTAAATTGTCGCTACTTGAATTATGTATTGTTTACAGTTCTGTTTTTTGATAATTGTTACAGTTGTCACATTTTGTTATGTTTCATCAGCTGTAGGAATAATATCTGTCACTCTAAATTCAACACAAGGTAAAGTAATCGTTTGTGTAAAAGTTTTGAGTGATTAGAATTCTGCACACTACTATATTTGGAATGTCGCTTTCAACACCGATGTAAATCGGATCCGTTGTTTTGTGTTTATAACTAAAGGATTCACGTATAGGGTAGGGAGGGGTTGTTCCACCAATTATACAAATTATCATTAAAATCAAATATAATTTTTTATCTGCTCTATTTATAGGTATATTTTCTTTTGGTTCAAAATCCTTAATCAACGCCTAACCAGTCAAACAATGTGATTCATAAATGACATAAGTGTGATGCATTTTTCAACACCTTATTATAATATGCAAAGCCTGTCTACAAATAATCTTCAATATACATGTAAGCAAGTATCAAATACTGTAATATCAGTATTGTCCATTAAGCAGTTTTGGGCTTTAAAATACTGTGTAAAAACATTAAACCATCTTTTTTTAAATTTTACAACAAAAGCAATAAATAATACATATTTTTGTCCACTTCAAAATTCTAAATTTCTATGCAGAGAACCTGTAGCTTGAAGTCGTTCTTTTTGGGTCTTGAAATAATTTGTTTTCAATCTTTGTCCTACAATTTTCTGCAATCCTTTTATATTTTTGGATATTTTTTCTAACTACCCCGGTATATCACTGATCTGTCTGTTCAATGTTGTAGATCAAAACTGTACTAACTGTCTGAGAGGCTGTAACACGCTGTCTGGTCGATGTGAAGGTTCCTGTATGAATGGCTTCTTTGGCGACTCTTGTAATGAAACTTGTGTTCCCAACTGTTTACGATGCAACAGAACATCAGGGGAATGTGAACGTTGTAAAGACGGGTTTTATGGGGGAAGATGTCAGTCAAACTGTTCGTCTACGTGTAGGTACGACTGTGATCAGGAAGGAGTATGTTTTGGGTGTCTGGATGAATATTTTGGTCCTCAATGCCAATACAAGTGTTCCACAAACTGCTCTCTCGGTTGTGAACGTGATACGGGTTCTTGTGCCTACGGTTGTGTCAATGGTTTGTGGGGAGATTTCTGTAACAACAGCTGTCCTGTTAATTGTGGCTCGTCCTCGTGTCACCAAAGACGCGGCTCTTGTTGGACTTGCAAATCAGGATATGGCGGGAATCAATGTTCCACTAAGTGTACAGATGAACACTGCTCGCTTTGTACCTATGATATCACTTCCTGTAGCAAGTGTCTCGATGGCTGGTATGGTAAACATTGCGAGAAGAACTGTCCCACATCACATTGCCGAACACAATCTTGTGACAAAAAATCCGGGAAATGCGGCTCGTGTGAGAGTGGGTGGTTTGGGGAGTATTGTGAAAACAAGTGTATTAAGAACTGCGATCGTTGTTCCGATACAACAACATGTGATGTTTGTAAAGCTGGTTTTTACGGGTATTCTTGTCAGCTTTCATGTCCCACTAAATGCAAAAATTGTGAAAGGGATGGAGAATGTAAAACTTGTATAGATGGGTTTAAAGGAAGAGATTGTATGTGTGAAGTTTCGGAGTGTTCGAATGTAACAAATAATAAATGTACTCAGTGTAAAAACGAAACATCATGGTTTCTTTTTGAGGATGCCTGTTGTCCTTGTAGTGAACATTGCAACCAAACCTCTGATCAGGGCATTTGTCACGCTGAAAACGGAAATTGTATTAATGGTTGCCAGGACGATTATATAGGGGACCAATGCTTCGACACTTGTAGTGAAAACTGTCTCAAGGGAAACCAAACCACTTGCAACAGTACAACAGGAACCTGTCAAAATGGCTGCCTTCCAGGATGGTTCATGTCCAAGTGTGACTTCAATTGTTCGTATAATTTCCCACATTGCCTGGAGTGCAAGGAGTATAACTATTCTCCGGTAGACCACTTTGTCCTGTGTTACAGATGTGGACCGGGGTATTATCGCGATTTTCTATCCGGTTTCTGTAAACCTTGCTATAACTGTTTAAATGATTCTTGTGACGGAGTTACCGGACTTTGTACCTATGGTTGTCAAGACGGTTGGTATTCATTGTCCGGCGTCCATTACCAGTGCCAGTTTCGCTGTAGTGAAAACTGTCTGGAGCAGAAGTGCAATAGCTCGGGTGGTCAGTGTTTGGACGGCTGTAATCACGGCTATTACAGTTCATACTGTCAGGTGTCTTGTCCGCGTAACTGTAAAAATAACACCTGTTACTGGGAGACTGGGAACTGCACGCTCGGCTGCACTCCGGGAACGTACGGCTATCACTGCTTCCTTCCCTGTTCGTCACGCTGCAGTGACTTGGGATGTGATAAAGAGACAGGAAGATGCCTTGGTAAGTGTCGGCTAGATTTTTGGAATGAGACCAAAAGAAAAAAAAACAACTTTGGTACAACGTTTTTTATACCAGTAATATTTCGATGTCACCCTCAACTACACTAAAACTTGTTAATATACAACTACTGTTTATACAGTTCAATAAATTTCCCATCAATATAATGCATTTTGTGAAATTAATTTGTTCTTCTATACATGCTGTATTTTTTAAGAATGTAAACCTGGTAGATATGGAGAGAAGTGCGAGAAGGAGTGCCCCGGATGTTTGCTGGGAGATTGTGATCGGACTAGTGGAGAATGCAGACAACACAAGTGCCAGCCCAAATTGTACGGTCCATACTGCAATACTAGCTGTGTAGATTCTTGTCTGATCTGTGATGAACAGTCTGGACATTGCAGCCAATGTGTAACCAACAGAACCGGAAGTAAATGCGAGAAAACGTGTGGGGAACGTTGTCTTCATGGTAACTGCGTTCATGGCGCATGCGCAAATGGGTGCATGAGTGGATATTTTGGCAAATTGTGCTCGGAGGCTTGTAACTCTACATGCAAGGCAGATGTTTGTGATTTTAAGTCGGGGATTTGCACAGACGGATGTGTAAGTGGGTGGGATGGAGCATTTTGTGAAGGTTAGAAGTTCATATCATAAGTTTCATGATATATTAGTCTTATTAAAACCATTTTGCTAAAATGACACTGAATCATTAAACAATTTAAAGATAAGATTCCTTTTTATTATTTTTTTAATGAATTATGATGCAGTCAAATTAATGAATCTATGCATCTTGACATCGTATAATTGCTCTTCTTAATTTGACTGAGCCGTTTTCAATCCTTAATCATTTTTTTTTTAATTTATCAATTAATTAAAATTAAATCTGATTTACTTCAGCAATATCTCAAGGATTTGTTCTATCGTGAAAAAAAAAACGCGTAAAGAAAATTGATATCGATATCCAAAGACATTAAATCAGACGATCAGACAGCATATTGTATCTTCTATTGCAGTTAATATGGCAGCCAAGTCGCGGGCTGGAGAATCCAATAAGTCCAAATACTCGACAGGGGAGTTAATTCTGATTGTACTTGGGTCAATAGCCGGGGTGATCATTATTGTCGTACTGAGCTGTCTACTGCACAGCCACAGAAGGTTTGTAAAAACTGAGTTTTAAGTCGGTTCTATAATACATAACACTTATCGGACCTGAGGACCTTAAAACTTAGACGAGCTCACTTTTGATCTCAATCTAACTTTCCCACTTTTAATTCCTTTGAGACTGAGCTCACCCAAAGATCATCCAATTATAAAAAATTAAAAATAGAAAGAAACAATGCATATAAGGCATGTACTTTTACAATTCTTAATTTTGCTTAAAGAGATTTTTTACAGATAATCTTTTTGAATTTACAAGGAACGGGAGATTCTGGGTGTCTTCAGGGGGAATCGTTATTTGTTTGTTCTTTTGAAATGCGTTTTCTCCATGGATTTTTTTTTTAATTAAAGGGGTGGGGTGTTATCATATTAAAACAGATTTCTTCTAGTATATGAATTGCTATGTTTCCTCTTGAGAATTATTATTAATTTTTTTTTTGTCCGTTTTCTTTCTTAGCCGCAGAGCAGAGAATTTTGTGACATGATCGGAATGCTAGATTGGTTTTCAGTTATCCATCAAGTAAGACACCAGTAAAGGCCACTGACCTCAGCATGCTGGGGTCATTCTCAGCGGAAGGTGCTTGTCTGTGTATGTTTCAATAAAGAATTGTTTTGAAATATCTCAAGTTTCGGTTTCACTGGTAGTTTTAAATCGATTTTTGCATGATACAATAAAGGTGTGTTCTATTTTTACAGTAAACAACTCTTTTAAGGTGTCTATAGTTTTTTTCAAAGATGGGGGATAAGGTTTGACGAAGTGCCTATAGTGCAACAAACACGATGCGAAAAATTATATCTCAATTATGTCCAAATTTTCTTTGATATTTAATTGAACACTAAAGTATACTTAATGTAGAATCTCTGCCATTTACAAAAAACTAACGAAGACTGAAATTGTACCTATGGAAAAGCATTCACGTACCAAAAAGAGCAAAAAAGATCATTTTCTCATACTTCAATAAATAAACTTTTTCAATATGAGTGGGTCTTTGCTCCATTTTTAGCTCACCTCAACGAAGTTGGGGGGAGCTTATGTGATACCCTCGGCGTCGGCGTCGGTGTCGGCGTCGGCGTCCCAGGTTAAGGTTAAGTTTTTTGGAGCAGTTTTCTTTTTAATTACTTCTGTGTCCTATATTGATAAGACATGCATGGAAGATGGTTTTAGTGTACCAGACAAAGTTTCAGATGCTGCAATTTCAGCAAAGGAATGACCAGGTTAATGTTTTTGGAGCAGGTTAACATTTTTGGAGCAGTTTTGGGTGTAAGTTTCATTTCCAAGTAACTATAAGCCCTATGTTGACCAAACTTGCATGGATGATACATCTAAGGATGCATACTACGGGGCTTGCTTCGGATGCTGAATCTGACCTACATTTTCCGGTTGAGTGAACAGGTTAAAGTTTTTGGTGCAGGTTTCATTTCCAAGTAACTATAAGCCCTATGTTGACCAAACTTGCATGGATGATACATCTAAGGATGCATACTACGGGGCTTGCTTCGGATGCTGAATCTGACCTACATTTTCCGGTTGAGTGAACAGGTTAAAGTTTTTGGTGCAGGTTTCATTTCCAAGGAACTATAAGCCCTATGTTGACCAAACTTGCATGGATGATACATCTAAGGATGCATACTACGGGGCTTGCTTCGGATGCTGAATCTGACCTACATTTTCCGGTTGAGTGAACAGGTTAAAGTTTTTGGTGCAGGTTTCATTTCCAAGTAACTATAAGCACTATGATGACCAAACTTGCATGGATGATAAATCTAAGGATGCATACTACCGGGCTTGCTTCAGATGCTGAATCAGACCTACATTTCCAGTTGAGTGAACAGGTTAATGTTTTTGGTGCAGGTTTCATTTGCAAGTACTTAACTTTAAGCCCTATGTTTACCAACCTTGCATGGATGATACATCTAAGGATGCACTCTACCAGGCTTGCTTCGGATGCTGAATCTGAACTACATTTTCCGGTTGAGTGAACAGGTAAAAGTTTTTGGTGCAGGTTTCATTTCCAAGGAACTATGAGTTCTTTAATGACCAATCTTGCATAGATGATACATCTAAGGATGTATACTACCAGTCTTGCTTCGGATGCTGAATCTGACCTACTTTTTGTGGATGAGTGAAAATGTTAGTTTTTGATGCATGTTTCATTTCAAATAAACTATGAGCCCTATAATGAGCAAACTTGCATGGATGATACATCTTAGGATGCACACTAATGGACTTGCTTCGGATGCTGAATTCAACATACATTTTTCAGATAATAGACAAGGTAAAAGTTATGGTTGCAGGTCTATTACCAAAAACTATAAGGCTTATATAACACTGTATAAACCAAACTTGCACAAATGTTGCATCAAGAGATGAAAACTCTCAAATTTCCTTCAGATGCTTGATTTTCATTACATTTTCATGAAGGAGAACTAGTTTAAATTTTTTATGTAGGTCTATTTCAAAGTATCAGATCAAAATTACTAAAATATTTTCATTTTTGGAATGTATACTTTTTGTTGGTTAATTGTGTGACTTTGCCTTACTTAAAGACAACATTCGTTGAGGTGAGCTCTGTAATCTCTGATTACCTATGTTTTAAAGATAGTCCTCAAAGTTTGCAATAAAATACACATTTAACATAGAGCAAAGACCCACTATACCTTAACAGTACAACTTTTATGACAAGACATTTGTATCTTTCTAAGAAATACTTCAAGTCCATTAAGTCAACAGTCATACCGCAAACATGATTTAAATGCCCCAATTTAACCTCAGCCATGCAGCTTAGTGGTACCTCGAAAACAACGAAAATTAACCTCCACAAAAATTTGTGATTTCACAGTATTCAGTAAAGGATACTTTTCCTTCATGCAGGTTGAAAATGAAATATGCTGATCTATCTGAAACAATACCAAAAAGCAAAACATCATCACGATGACCGTTTTCAAAATTACATGTACAAACATATTGGAAAGTGACTTACTTATCAATAAAACATTTATTAATACTATACTAGTAGATTTATTAGCATTTATATGGTTTCTCCAGTTTCATTTCTTCCCGCAAATTTTGTGTCGAAAAAGTCAATTTTAGTATGAAAATGAATATTTACTTACCTTGACCGTGGCCTATGACCTTGGGTTCTGGTCTTTTAACGTATACTGTCCATTTGAAATGTGTTTCAAACGGCTAAAAAAAATCCCGAAATCCTTATCTCTCTTACACTACCCAAAAATTATTGCACCTTAAAAAGACAAATTATCTACAGGGGTTTTTCTAAACTCACAAATCAGGAAATCGCCCTCCAGGGAGAGAGTAAATAAATTGAAATCTGGAAGGAAAACTTTGTGAAACCCTCCACCAAAATAATGCCATTCTCTAACCAGAGTTGTCTTCCGCTACGCTCACTACACCTCTGTCAACGCTCGTTGTACAAGATTCTTGTACAAATTTTAAACAGCGAAAATTTAAAGTAAAAATAGCAATTAATTATTGTAATTATTGATAAAGACGATAATTCATCATTTATTTCAAACCTATATTCCCTCAAAACGACTTATTTTCAAAGTTTTACGGGAACTATTTTGCGGAGTAAAAATTAAAATCATAATTAAAAAAACGTTTTAAGGTGTAACAAATTAAAATAAATTATAAACGATTATTTATACAATTTTTAATCATTTACAATTTTTCCAAAACAAGCGTTGACAGAGGTGTATGTGGGAGCGTAGCGGGAACGACAACTCTGGAGAGAGAATGTGGGAGCGTAGCGGGAACGACAACTCTGGAGAGAGGATGAAATAATGCTAGATTTTATATGTCCATATAGGACAGGTTTTCTTCCTGTAAAATAATTTGCCATATTGTAAATATATTATCCTTTGTTCTGTGGTTCAGACGTGTTTGGTTAATTTTATAAATGAAAAGTTGCCTTTCTTTTTATATGTGAAGTTTAACAACTATAGGTACATTTTGGACTTTGTAAAATAATATGTCTGAAAGTACATATCAACATGTCAAAATTATTAATTTATATTTTACTATGCCACAGAATGTGTTCAGAGTCAGAGATGGTGTTATTATTGAAGAAACTCCGAAAAGAAACTTGCTCATAAGAGACTTGGCATTCCGATAAAATAAGGTATTATATATGCTAAAAAAAAGTCAATTCTGAAGATTTTTAATACTTTTAGGCCTATTTCCCTGTTGTTTCGCATTGTTGTTAGAATCCAAGAATTAATTTTTTAAATGTTATTTTCAATTAGCAAAAGACCTTAATTTCTCTATTTTTTTATTGTATCTTTATTCCTTACCAAAATATTAACTTTTAGATGATTTTAAATAAATCACCAAATTCTAAAGATAGTAACATCAAAATGTATATGACCATTACATACACTTCATACAATCATTCCTAACGATAAACCAAAAACCTTGCTAGGCTGTTTAAGTGTTTATTATCATAGACAACTGTTTCTTCAATAAAAATGGAAATCAGAAATTTTCTTATCTTGTGATTTGTCATCAACAAAGTTACTATATGTAATTCTCCACACAAGAACTCGAAAGTTGATATAAAATTAAAGGATGCTAGAGTGTTCCTCATTGACGCTATTTACGAGGGCCATTCAAAAATTACGCGTGACATTTGTCTACAAATAGCAATTTGAAATTTTAGACCGTTAGACCTCTGTAAATAGGCTATACTGGAGGACGGGAAGAAGATTATCTATGGAACGCCGTAAATGCCTTATGTGGAGAACTTTCATTATAAGCTGGTACTTTGTCATTATATGCTGGTACTTTGTCATTATATGATGGTATTTTATCATTATATGCTGGTACTTTGTCATTATATCATGGTATTTGTCATTATATGATGGTACTTTGTCATTATATGCTACTACTTTTCATTATATGCTACTGCTTTGTCATTTTATGCTACTACTTTTCATTATATTCTACTACTTTGTCATTATATGATGGTATTTTGTCATTA